TTTGACTATCATTTGGTGCTTGTTGGCTAGCATAGAAGCTACAGTTCTGCTAAGCCGTTGCACTTGGTCCCCTGAGTGCAGTCTGTCCACACAAGCACGACTAATGAAATTTCGTGTAGAGCCTATGTCTGCGAAGGCACCTACTTTGCGGCCACCTACATTGACCTCTACCACGAAATGTTCACCCTTATGACCCTGTCTCTTATACACATCTAGATGTGTATAAGAGACAGGCTATGAAGGCTGGGCTATGGCGCTGCCCTCAGCAGCGCCCTGCTTCCTGCACGACCGCACGCACTAGCACCTTGCGTCTCAGCGCCAGCAGCAGCCCACCTACTTTGCGGCCACCTACATTGACCTCTACCACGAAATGTTCACCCTTAGGACCTCTACTAATCATCACCCAAGAGTCTCTGGGGTCCTTCCCTGACCACTCAGACTGTAACTCTTCTAGGGACTCGAACACATCTCTCGAACAGAGCGTCGGTGGGTCTGAATGTGTCTGCGGGGCGATGTATGGGTCACTAGCCTTGGCCAACGCCTGAAGTGGGGAAGGCAACGTTACCACTTCAGTGCGAGTAAGAGCGGCTAACACTCCTACTGGCCCGAGGTGTTTCCCTGCGAAGTGCTCGCAGAAGCACTGCCAGGGTTCGAGGATAAGAACACTACCGTTGGAGAGGCTACCCTTGTGGTGACCTTCTTGCCTCGGCACGTTCTTGACGTGTGGCCATAGTTGCCACAATTCATGCATGTACCCCTAGCAACTCGGTCCCTCCACACCTCGTAATCTAAACCAAGTTTGGTCGCCCTGACCCATAGACCGACCTACCTTCTGCTTCCCGGTCCCCCTAGTCTTTTCTTTGATGGGTGCCACGACTGCCCCATCCGAAGTCTCACTGGTCCCACGATGCTCTGTCTCATCCCCAAGGTCTGAGAAGTCGTCAATTTCAATCGTCTGACCCCATTATGGTCGACGAACATGAGTTGGCCTTTCTTCTTCCAGTCCTGGGGAAACCTCTTCTTCCTACCATCTCTTGACTCTGATGCGTGGACCCAAGCTTTGCCACTATATCTAAGGCTTTCTTGTTGAAAGAGGCGAAGTTATGTTGGTCGACGTAGGCCTCATCCACCAGCTTAGTCTTAACTTCTGAAGGTATACATCTTAAGTAATATGTGAGGAGTACCTCCTGGTCGTAGCGCACACCAGGTACCACGAGCAGACGTTCTACGGTGTATGTGATCTCGCGGACATTCTTGTACCTTTTGGCACAAAGATTGTTGATCGCGTTTGTGGCCTTTTGAGCCCCTTGCGGGTCATGCCACCTATTGTACATAGTCCATACGAAGTCTTCCAATGTTGGGGTCTGGGCCCAGGCATCGAAATTATGACCGTAGCCCTGTTGCTGCACTAAGCCATTTAACCAACGTGTTGCCGATCCCTCTAAAAAGGAGGCAGCAACTATAACTTCTTGCTATGGCCTTGTGAGCTTGTGCCTCATATAGGTAGGCACGGTCCTCACCCAGGTGTCCAGGTCCTCATCCTTCTTCCTGTCGCCAGAGAAGGCCTTAGGACTCAGCAAAGGAATGTTGGGCATCCACTGCATAGGGTGGATCTGCCCAAGCGACTGCTGCAGTGGCTGCATGGCCACTGAGACAGGTTGCTGCATGCTAACTTGGGCCTGTCCGGACGATGGGACTGTAGTTACCACCGTTGTGGATGGTACAAAAGAAGCTCTAAGGATCGGACCACTAACTACTGGTTGTCCGCCTGAGAGAGGCATGCCATACATAGGCGAGAAGGTTTGCCCTATCGACGACGGCGTCATTGAAGGACCTGTAACCGAAGGGGGAACTACAGAGAATTGGGGCTGCCTCATGACTGGATGAGGTCCCTGAAGTGCAGCCAAAATTTGTTTCTGGCCTGCCACTAGTTCAGCCAACAGTTCTAGCTGAACTACCTGCGTTTTTGCCACACAAAGTGGCGAGTTACGCAGCGCTCGATCAACAAGATTTAATGTTGACTCATCTAGTTCTTCTAACCCTCTTAGTTCCTGAAGCCTATGCCTAACCTGACTTTTCTCAATCTTGCCCTTTCTCTCCTCTCTTCTACTTCTCTCAGTTGCCGCTGCAACTCATCATGAAGAGCTTCCGCTTGGAGGATCTCATAATCCTCTGGCGTGAGTGAGGGTTGTTGGCTGACTTGTGAGCCAACAGACTGACTTTTGGAGTCTTGGGTACTCTGACTGATTCCTGACGAAGAGGCCTGGGAAAAGGCCTGTGACATGGTAGAGGAGGTAGCCATGGTCACACCTGTGCTAGGTATGCTCCTAGCCCTGGCGCTGGCCTCAGCGTCTCTCGTCCTCCGTAATGCCCCCCTCTCCCTAGCTTCTCTCTGCGGTCTCCTTTCCTCTCTTGGACTTATCTCTAGGAAGGTCAAAGGCCGACTGAGAGCAGCTCTACGAGTAACCCTAAGATCTTCCACTAACTACTCCTCACTACTAGCAGCTTCACTCATGAGCTACAGTGTGTGTGATCTAAACTAGAGTCCACACTGAATCCTACCTCAGCATGACACACAACCGGGTATGAACAAGTTTTCGGGTCCTGGCACACTAATTCCGGTCAGCCTAGAGAGAAGTAGTCAAGTGGTAACCAGCAATCAATGTCGGGTCCTACAGGTAAGTTCAATTCTATGTTTAGATTACTCTTACACAGAATGCAATGCAGCAAGGAAGGAACTAACCTATCTGCAGCTGTCTGTGAGTTGTTAACAAGTCCGTACAATTAAGTAATCAAAAATAAAAATAATTACCTGTGGAGATGCATGTTGGATGGCAATTCATCTAATTAGTGCCACAGCAAACTATTACCGGAATCCCCCCTGTCTCCTTGTTTCCTTCTTGAGTTGTCACTTTGTGTCAACGCCCTGAGCATCTGGTTGAGCGGAGTGTCTGAAGGTGTGCAATCCGGCCCACCCCTATGCCCCAAGTCTATGTCGAACCTGCCAGCCCCTGCACTTTATTTAGCCTCGCATGCAACGAGCCTTACACCCGGTTTGATCTGGCTGATCAAGAGGCAGTTTAAGGACAGCCCCCAAGGTCCTCACGAATTATTTAACGTCGCAGACAGGACGGCGATCACAGCCAGAGTCAACACCGAGTCCCACCAGAAATATTTATAGATGGTCCGGTGAGCATCTGTTCAAAGGGCTGGCATGCCCTGCATGATCTCTATTGCGCAGCAGCAGAACCAAGGACTTGCGGCAAAGCATGAGTGTGCTAGTCCCAGCGGGTTGGCATGGTGACCGTGACCCGAGTGCTTCGTCCAGGGCCCTTCAGAGGCTTTGCCCGTCTCCCACCAGCTTGCTGCCCAGGAAGAATGTCAACTCTCAAGGTTGAGCGCTCCCGACACCTCACATTGAGAGGACTCTCAAGACAGAACTCACTTCCTCACAGTAAGAAGTAATGGAGAGGGTAGATAAGGAAGAGAGCAACGTACCTCATAATGCTGCCCCCAACCACAGATTTCTCACCGGCAACCTGATGTGCATTTATGATGACCGGTCTTTGCCTTGGCACAACCAACAGCAGAACGCAGTTCCACCTCGGCTTAAATGCCACATCAGCGAGCTCTCATCATCCAGCGTACACTCCTAATGTCACCACGTAGCTTCCTGGCGCGCCCACACGACCCTGGGGCGCCTATCACTCAACGCCCAAGCCTTATTACTGCCCCACACCTCATGCGAAGCATCAAACAGCTATTGCAAATAGTCAATGAAGTGCAGTTCGAACCAGCTCCTATACCAAATTGCAAGAAAAATGAGCAATAGTGAGATGACAATGTCCAGAATGCACAATCACAGTGAAGGCCAGATAGTATCACAGTGTCCAGAAAGCAGAAATGCACCAATATAACACCAATGAAGAATCGTAACACTGAAAACCAATGCCAATGAGAGCTTGCTCTCGCCACCACCAACATGAGTGTCCAGGCCCTATCTCCCTACTTGGCGCTTGGCGCCCAGCCTACTTCCTACACAGCTACAGTCTGCCTACTAATTGACAATGCAACTGTTGACGTCAGCAGCCTACAAAGTACTTGAAGATGTTGCCCGTAGCAGACCATCGCCAATACCAGGTATGTGCCCTCACATCATCATCATCATCATCCTTCTCTCTATCCCCTGACTTACTCCCACGTCTTCCCTCTGTACACCCGGAGACCACCCCTGCGCGTCACTGTAGTCCAAGCCCATCCAGCTATGAAGGCTGGGCTATGGCGCTGCCCTCAGCAGCGCCCTGCTTCCTGCACGACCGCACGCACTAGCACCTTGCGTCTCAGCGCCAGCAGCAGCCCACGAGCGTCCGCTCCAGCAGCGCTGCCACCAGCATGCAAGTGCTGAATGATGCTCCAGGCAGAGAGCTCTTTGCTATATGGAAAGAGCCTGCCTGCCTTCGCAGCCTGGCTGGCCTGGGCCTGGGCCCAGAAGCTTCCGGTAGGCCCCAGGACGCTGCGCCTCTGTTGCAGCTACTGGGCCTCATTTGGTTGGGCCTCCCAACTGTCTGTGTATGAGCCTGTGAATCTTGTCCAGGGCCTGCATCATTTTGGAAAGGCCTGGAAGGCCATGGAATGTCTCGCTGCTCGGCCTGTGTTTCCCTCAACCAACTGGCGCGACGAAACTGCCTGGACCCTCGTGATTTGTTAGGCCCGCCTTCACTTAGGGCGGGCACATCTGCAGCAAGAGGTCCCTTAGGCCTGCCGAGGACCCAGATCCTCGCATCAATATCATATGATTAAATTTCAAAACTATCAGCAAATAAGATTTTTTGTTCTTTTGATTGAAATTGATTCATTAGAAAAGAAAAGGAGGATTTTTGCTATGATCATTTGAACAGCTGAAATAAAACAGACAGCCAAAGCAAATTCAAGATATTTTAAAAACTTTTTTTAATTTTTATTAATTTTTGACTTTGTCTCTTGTAACTTTTTTCCCATACCTGCATCTGGTCGAGTTTCTAGAAGCCAGCTGACAATGTCCTCGTTTTGAGCACGAGTGAGACTGCACATCAGCACACACATACACACGAAGAGAGAGAGAGCAAGAGAGAGAGGCGGGGTATGGGGGGGG